CCTGTTTCTCCTGTCCTGGAGCCTGCCACTGGCTCACAGCAGGAACAGGCTGCCCTGTGTCCAGCTGCAGCCCCTGCTGCCGGGGCTGGATTGGGATGCAAACCCTGGGTTTGCACGTGGTGGTCTCAGTGTTTTTTGGGGATCAAGTTGTTCCCAGTCAGGAGCTCTGTCCTTGCTTTGCAGAAACACATCAAGGAGCACCACGAGGAGGTGCGGGAGCGGCCCTGCCCTCACCCTGGCTGCAACAAGGTGTTCATGATCGACCGGTACCTGCAGCGGCACGTCAAGCTCATCCACACAGGTGGGTGCCAGGGCACACACAGCCCTGGTGCCCTGCTGGGGGGTGCTGAGGCTCTGGGGGAAGGGGGCACGGGGCTCCCTGTGTGCCTGTGAACGTGGAGCAAGCTGTTGTGCAGGGGAGGGGTTCAGATTCACACAGGGAGCGTGGCAGCTGATGGGCAGGGCACATCCCAGGGTACGGTTCCATCCCGGAGCTCAGCAGAGCCGTGACTCCCTGTTTGTGTGGCAGAGGTACGGAACTATATCTGTGATGAGTGCGGGCAGACCTTCAAGCAACGCAAACACCTCTCGGTCCATCAGATGCGGCACTCGGGAGCGAAGCCCCTGCAGTAAGTGATGATTCCAGGGGGGATAGAGGGGGCAGTCACTGACCCTGGCACGGGAATCCTGGGGTGCAAACCCTGCCTGGAGCTGGCAGCATCCTGCCTGGATCGCTTTAAATGGAATGAATGAGGGCAGGGTCATGGAGCACCTCTGCTGTGAGGAAAGGCTCAGAGTGCTGAGTGTGTGCAGGCTGGAGAAGATTCCAGGGAGACCTTAGAGCCCCTTGCAGGGCCTAAAGGGGCTCCAGGAGAAAACTGGAGAGGGATTTGGGACAAAGTCCTGGAGTAACAGGTCAAGGGGCAATGGCTTCCCACTGCCAAAGGACAGGGTTAAATGGGATATTGGAAAGATGCTCTCTCCTGTGAGGATGGTGAGGCCCTGACACAGGTTGTGGACTCCCCATCCCTGGAAGTGTTCAAGGCCAGGCTGGACAAGGCTTGGAGCAGCCTGGGATAGTGGAAGGTTTGGGGGATGTGGATAGTGGCAGGGGGTGGGATGGGATGTGCTTTAAGGTCCCTTCCCACCCAAACCACCCCAGGA